AGGTTTCGGGTTAGCATTAGCCCTACTACACGCTGTCGCAACGATTACTTTTCACGCGGAACAGATTGTCACAGGCATCGGTATCAACATCTTAGCGTTAGGAATTACAGAATACCTCTTACCGACCCCTGAACAGGTAGGCGGTCTTCCGCACTGGAAAGCACCATTTATGGGTTCATTCAGTTTCATCGTCTACTTGCTGCCGGTGTTGATGGTGGCGAGTCACATCCTCCTGTTTAAAACCCCGTGGGGTTTGCGATTACGCGCAGCGGGCGAATCAACAGAAGCTCTCGCGGCACTCAGCCTGAGTCGGGCGAAATGGCAATATATCGGGGTTATGCTAAGCGGCATTCTGGCAGGAATCGGTGGCTGTTTTTTAGCATCAGAAGTTCATTACTTCACAAAAGGGATGACAGCAGGACGTGGGTATCTCGCACTCGCGGCTATCATCTTCGGGAATTGGCGTCCATTGAGCGGCATCGCAGCATGCTTCCTCTTCGGATTCGCTGCCGCCTTAGAACTTGCAAACCGATGGAACATCCCGGTCCAATTGTTAAACAGTTTGCCGTATATCCTAACAATGGTTGTCCTCGCGGGGTTGGTAGGAACATCACGTCCACCTGCGAGTTTAGGACGGATGAAATCGTAGGCTTCTGGCAACGGTGCCGCGAACGCTTTCTTTACAAAACCCCTTATGCTCAGATCTCATTATCCTCATCCACGAGTCCATAGTAGCTGCCGTGGCGACTGTAATAACCATAGGACTTGGCGTGCCTCGGATTGATCATGTTGCAAAGCACGCCGATACCTTTCGTCGGAAAGGCTTCTGTCAAATGTCGGACTCCCGTAAGGATGTCAAATCGTCGGGTCTTCGTGATGTCAAACACATAGACGATGGCATCAACGATATTTGCCAAGATCATCGGATCGGCAACAGCACGGACCGGTGGCGAGTCGATCACAATCACATCGTACTCCGATTTTGCGAGTTCCAACCAATCCGTCATCATTTCTGAGTTGAGAAGCTCAATTGGATTTGGTGGGACAGTACCACTCGGGACAAGATGCAAATTAGGAATGTCGGTTTGCTTGACTGTTGCCTGGAGGATGTCGTCCCCATTTTCTGAGTTTAAATGGATAAGGACTTCACTTAATCCAGGTTTACGTGTCCCAACGCGTGCAATAGGGATTTCAGCGTCAGATGTCTCCACCGCGTCTTCCACCTGAGGAAGTTGCGCTCCCGGAAAAGTGTTATGTTGCGAGGGACGGCGCATATCGGCATCAATTAATAATACTTTACTTCCCCTTTGCGCAAGAGCGACGGCGAGATTCGAAGAGATCGTGCTTTTCCCTTCGCCTCGAGTAGCACTTGTAACCAGAATTGTTCTCACGGGTGCCCCCGGATTCAGAAACGGTAGCTTCGCTTGTAGGACACGAAACGCCTCAGCCGACCTTGATTGCGGAGCATCGTGAACAATTAGTGGAAGTCGATACGCATTGCGCTTTTTGATGGACGGAAGTACGCCAAGGAAACTTGGCGATTCCGGCAGCGCGTCCAATTGACGCACTGCATCTTCTAAACGGAGATATGTATCTTCAAAGTAATTTTTCGCTACAGCAAATGTAAAGCCCAGCAGCATACCTACCATTGCCCCCAAAGCGAGATTCAGTTTTAGGCGAGGCTTCAACGGTTCTTCAGGTGCCCGCGCTTTATCTAAAACTTTGATACTCTCTGTGCGCGCCTGTGCGAAAATTTCTGCCTCCCGCAATTTCGTTTCTAAAGCCAGTGCTTGTGTGTTATAAATTTCAACATCCCGCTTGAGTCGATAAAACTGCAATTGCGTCGGGGACCAGCTACCCAACTTCTCGAGGTGCGCGGCGATTTTGGCTGTGACCTCTTCCTTCTGTTTCTTAAGACTGATAATGGCTGCCTCCGCCTCATTCACCTTCTCTGTGAGTGCTTGATGGAGTGGATTGTAGGAAGCGGTTGTACTTTTTATCTGTTTCTCTTCTTTACCAAGGCGTGTTCTTGTCTCTCTAATTTTTCCATCAATCGCCGTCACTTCAGGATGCGTTTCATCATATTTCCCCAGCAGTTCTGCCCGGTCAATTTCATACTGGTTTAAACTATCTGCAGTTTGGAATGCGAAGGGTTCCGTCCAATTGTCTCTGAAACGACATTCTGTGACAAGTTCTCCAACTCCGCTTGATAGGTGCCCAGTCTAAATTCAGCACTTACCAAGAGATCTATTATTTCACTTTCTTTGACCTGAAGTGCCAGAATGATTTGTGCTTGCGTTCCACCTTCTGCATTCAAGGTAATCTCCGGGTACTCTTGCTGAAACTTAAAGAACGCCTCATCCGCTTTCGTGAGGCTATCCCTTGTTTGATTCAACATCGCCTGCGGGAGAGGCTTTTCCCACCAGTGCATTCTTTCAGCGACTTCCGCTTCGACAGCCGCCTGAAACACAGCCGTAATCCTATTGGCTATATTCTGTGCCCGTTCCGGTGTCCGCTGTGTCACAGTAACTGTAATTACGCTTCCATCGGGTGTTTCTTCAACCTTCAACTGTTCGTCAATAAGCGTTTTGACGAAGAAGTCTTCCCACTCAGTGAGGGTGAGTTCGCCCTGTTCTGTCGCGTCCAGATTAAGTTTAATATTCAGCGAGTTTGCAAGCCATACGACGACCCGTCCACGATGAACAGGTAATAGATCAAGCAGTCCCTCTTCTCTGAGTTGACGGATAGCAGGTGCGATCACGAGGTCTCGCGATTGTATCTGTGCCGCATAAGCACCCGCCGATGGACCGCCCAATAACCCAGATATAGGCAATTGCGAAAGTAGCGAAGAAGTTGGTTGACCGTCTAAGACTCGAAGCGTTGTTTCAGATTGATAAACTGGCTGCGTAAGGTCGGTTATGAGAAACGCCACGAAAACGGAAAGTAAAAAAATGAGGAGGACGCTCCATTTATTCCGAAAAAGGATCCAAAAATAGTCTGATAATCGAATTTCTCTGATTTCTTCAAAGTGCCTATCGGTTGTCTCTGGCATCTCTAACCTCTTTAATGACTGTCAGCCGTCGGCTATCAGTGAAGAGGGGGTTTGTTAAACCCAAAACCTCTTTCTGACGACTGAAGGCTGATGGCTGACCGCTATCTTAATTGTATCTGAGCAGGACTGTGACAAGCAAGTTCACAAAAGATGTCGCGAAGGTGATGACCCGCCAATCCAAACGGGTTCTTTCACGGACTCGGAGCTGATCTTTGGGATTCAGGTAAATTTCTGAGTGCACCTGGTTGAAGTCCAGTTCTTCCTCTGTCCCATCTGCCCGCGTGAGTAAGCATTTTTTGGGATTTGCCCTTTCCTCGTTGAATCCACCTGCCATCGCAATGGCTTGTCCGAGAAGTGCTGGCTCGGTAATCACGTATTGTCCCGGTTTCTCGACAGCCCCTGTAATACTGATTTTCGCATCCGCCAAGGGGACATACAACGTATCTCCCTGTCCCATTGTTGCCTCAACATTCTCTGCAGCGAGATCGACTAAAATGCGTTTTTTACTGGTGATGATTTCTGACTTGTGTAAGTCGGCGAAGTCAGTTCTGGAACCGCCCGCGAGTTTCAATACCTGACTTGCTGGCACCTGCGGTGCGGTTATCGGATAAACACCAGGAGCTACCACCGCACCTATGACGCGCACAGGTCGCTGTTGAAAGACAGACGGAACAAAGATAGTATCATGATCCTTCAACGGAATATCGGGACCACCCGCGCTGATGAGTTGAAGGTAATCAATCTTCTTATAGAGTTTCCCATCCCGCCAGATAGAAATGTCCGTAAGATCTGCGGCTTCATAGTTGATTCCAGCGGCTGCGAGTGCTTGAAGAAGATACACCTGCCCGACTTCAAAAACATGGAGGTTCCCACGTGCGCGAAGATTGACCGCACCGAACACAAGAATAGTCCGCTTCGGTTGCATGAGCGTTACAAACACGCGCGCCGTCGGCAGATGTTTAGAAAAAGCAGACTGCATCTGCGCTTCGAGTTCAGAAAACCGTGAGATTCGTCGCCTTGATGAGCCCAATAAGAGGATAGGAGACATAGCCATCTTGTTGAACCGGCACAGGGATTCGCTCTTTACTATATTCAGGATAGCCGTCCACGGTGACAACAAAACTGTCACCAACTTGCAATTTATATGTAGATAATTCCGAGGGCTCTGAATCTTTCGGCGTAACCTCTGGGTCTATAGCCGGATTATCGGTGGGGGAATCCGCGGCGGAAATGAGTACGGAAAGACTAAGTTGTAACACACCCAGCAAAAGCAGTAAAAACCATTTAAGAGAATGTTTTGAAAAGCTCGCAAACTTCACCAAAAAACTGTTTTCGTAAAGCAGATTTGTTCATGAAAATTCACTATCAACCCTATTTAGCAGATTTTGTCCTTTTGTTGGTTTTTAGAAGCAGGTACTCTGTTATTTCTTCACACCGCTGAATATTCTAACAGATATTTGCCCAAAATGCAAGGGAAGTCACACAGGCATACAGGAGCATTCGGTTCTTCTGTAGGAGGGAACTCCGATTCCCGACATACCTCTGTAGGAGGGAACTCCGATTCCCGACATACTCCTCTAAATCGTGACTTTCCAACCAAAGTGGCTAAAAAAACCGAAAACTGAATGGCTCTGTACAGGCATAGGGCATTTATAGTGACATCCGAAATGTATAGACACTTCAGGTGACCACGGATCCGCCTGCGTCGTTAGCGAGATTTGGAACCCTGCGGGTCCATCATTAATTATAGGACTCACACAGTTGGTCTCACAAGTCCCCTTGATAAGGGGGATTTAGGGGGTTAAAAATAAAAAATATCCCACCATGCCCTGAATTTGCGTAAGTCCTGAATTATACCAAAATTTGGACAATATTGTAAAATTCAAGATGCCACGTCAAAAGGTAGGGTCATATCCTGTTGAAAAGAATTGTATTCCCTTTTTCAAACCTATAGGTTATTGGCAATGCGAATTTCTTCCTCGTTAAAGGATTCGTCACGCCATTCAGTTATACGCCACTCACTGTTTCTCTTTTCAAAGATAAAGAGGTTGTCACCTTCAGCGTACACACCACTATATCCACCCTCAAGCGAATGTCCATCGGATATAAAGAGTTGGATCCTATAGTGATTCCGTACTTCCGCCTGATTGCCATCCTCATTCATAGAAATCTCTGGTGGGACAGAGAGTTCTATCTCAATATCCTGAAACTTCTCAAAAACTCGAGTGGCAGCATCCCGTTCCTGTCGGATGTCATCAAACTCCAGATCGTCCGTTTTATCTCCGTCTGTCCCCCAATCAGAAACATAGAGGAAACCCTCTTTCCAGAAAGTTTCGATATAAGAGTTAACATCTTCCGTTTCGTAACCTTGCCGCCATCGGTCTAAGACCTTATTAATTTGAAGGAGTTCTTCAGGCGGAACCTGACCAACCTTGTCAGCGTCCCCACACCCCATAAAACCTATGAGTAAGATAAGTACGCCAATGACTTTTGCAAAAACCCTGAACATAATAATTAAGCATCCTCCTTATTTATATAAATTGAAGTTTGGACAATTTGGCTGATATTCCCACAATAGCTTATACTGATTCCATTTTCCATCTTTAGTTGCAAGTCGACTGGGTCTCCTTCAAAAAATATGCATTTATGAACATCTTTTAGACACCAGTCTACGCGTATGAGCGGTGGGCAAAATCTTAAAGATAAGAGGACGCTAAACATAAGGAAGGTAAGTCTAAGTTCGCTATACGCAATGTCAGCCGACAAGCGTTTTTTAAGTATGTTAAGGCACATCCTTAAACCCAGTTGTGCGGGGGATCACGGGAATCTTAATTAGGCAATTCTGGTGAAAAATTCGTCCAACGAAGTGAGGTTTGGCGGAAGGCTCACAATGAGTTACAACATCTTTGCAGACACTTAAGACAAAGGATTTTATTCGTTAGAAGAGTATAAATATAACAACCAAGCCTAACGACAACCAATGAACGCGTGTGAATGAATCTATTTCTGTGTATAACGATACCGACATTCAAATTGCGTTCAAATGGAGTTTAACATTTTTGTGGGCAAACCGATGAAGATCGTATCAATTGACCCAGATAAACGAAGTGTACTTATGCCTCTCTTCGCCAATTATCGCCCCCAGCGCATCTTTATTCACAGCGTTCTTGAGGGGCATAGTGGCATCGCGCTTGCAGATTCAAAAACAAATCCACGGGTTGCCCAATTAACGCATCCCGGTTGGGCGATACTCGGCGGCGATGTGACGCATCCCATCGCGCAAAAATTGGTCCAGCAATTATCAGACATGTGGATTATTCCTATCTCAGAGGGCATGGCGTGAGTTGATATTTCAAGTCCATGGTCATCATCTCAAACAAATGCACGGCATTACGTTTTCCTCGGAATCACTCAACCTCGAACATTTGCGGAACCTCCAAAAACGAATCCCTTTTGATTACCACATTCAACGAGTTGACATCTCCTTGGCGAGCCAACTTAGAAATGAAGGGCTTTCCAGTTTCCCAGGTTTCAGTTCACTCGCTGATTTTGCGGAACGGGGAATCGGCTTCTGTGCAACAATCGAGGGTCGCATTATTAGTCATGCTGTCTCACTGATGGAATGTCGTGAAGGGATTCATATTGGGATTGAAACACATCCTGACTTTCGCAACAAGGGATTTGCGACAGCTATCGCTGCTAAACTGCTTGTACACTGCATTGAGCGAGGTATTTATCCGTATTGGTCTGCCAGCTATGAAAACGCAACTTCTATTCATTTGGCTGAGAAAACTCGGATATGTCCGTGATGAGATGTACGAGACACTCGGTGTGGCCATGAAAAACGTCGTGATTTTTCTGCCTCAAGGGCATCCGAAAGCATTTGTTGCTTTAACCTGCAGATTTATGCTAATATAGTGTTGTGAACTTAAAAGCCGTTTTTGAACAACTTCAAGGCAAGCGGGTAGTGATTATCGGCGATGTCATCGTGGACACATATATCTGGGGGCGATGTGAAGCGAATTTCGCCTGAAGCCCCTGTTCCAGTGTTTGAGACGACGACAGAGAAGACCGGATGTGGTGGTGCGGCGAATGTCGCCCAAAACGTTGCAAGCTTAGGCGGCAACGCAACCCTGGTCGGTGTCATCGGTCGGGACAGGGAAGGCGAAAAGTTAGTCCAGATGCTCACCGAAATGAATCTCGTTACTACCGGGGTCTATACCGACCCTCAGCGACCGACAAGCACAAAAACACGTGTCATAGCCCGTGGTGCCACGACCTTCGCAGATCGGGAACCGGGTTCGGGGCATCATTTGCTCCGCATCGACAGGGAATCCAAACAGGAGATCTCTCCCCAGATACGGGAACACCTACTGGACACTGTTGTTTCTCAATTGCCAACAAGCGACGCAATTATCTTCGCTGATTACGATAAAGGGGTGGTTACTGCCCAACTCATCAAGGGTGTTATGAAACACGCCAAGCCTTACGGTATCCCAATTATTGTCGATCCGAAGCGAAATAACTTCTGGCACTATGAAGGCGTAACCGCCGTTACACCGAACCACAAGGAGGCAAGTGCCGCTGTCCGTGAAGCGATCACGGATGTGTCCGATCTGGTCGCTGTCGGTGAGAAAATTCTGAACAAGTTATCCCTCAAGGCGTTGCTAATCACTCGCGATGCCAAAGGGATGTCTCTGTTTCAACGTAAGGCAGATAGTACCGTAAAAGTAGCACACCTCGCACCGCATTCAAACATCGTGACAGATGTTACAGGCGCGGGGGACACGGTCGTCGCCGCTTTTACGCTTGCGCTCGCGGCGAATGCTGAATTTGACAGTGCTGCCATGCTGTCTAACCTCGCAGGTGGGATTGCCGTCGGTAAAATGGGGTGCGCGACCGTCACACCAAAGGAACTGCTGAACGCTATTGAAAAGGTAAAATTAAAAAGATGAAGACTATCTTTCTGGATCGGGATGGCGTTATCAACCGGAATCCACCCAATAAAGGTTACGTCCGGAAATGGGCGGAATTCACCTTCATCCCGAATGCCCGGAAAGCAATCCGAGAATTAACAGAAAGTGGTTATCGAATTATTGTGGTAACCAATCAAGCCGGAATTGGGAGAGGTCTCTATTCAGAGCAAAGTTTGACGGATATCCACTCGCGAATGGTCGCCGAAATCAGCAAAACAGGTGGAACAATTGACGCTGTTTATTACTGTCCACACCACCCTGATGCAGGGTGCGAGTGTCGAAAACCGAAGCCGGGTATGTTAATACGCGCTGCCCGTGAACACAACATTGAACTGTCAAATGCCTATCTGATAGGTGACGTGCCTACAGATATTGAAGCAGGACAGCGTGCTGGCACCACAACACTTCTCGTTTTAACAGGGACTTGGACAGGAGAGTTATTCCCACTACATTAATACGAAACCTTGTCGGCGTGCGGATAAGAACGACTACCGCCCCGATAAAATCTTCACAAATCTTTACACAGCAACGCGCTGGCTCAGGAAAATTAAACGGTAGCCTGTAACAACGGCGCAGGCGGGTATTTGAAACGCATAGAAGCGTCTTAACGCATGGGGTTCCAATTAAAAGTTAGTCCAAAGCGCGTAGCCCGTAACGAAGTGGAGGGCGGATCTACGGGAAGGGCTTCAAAGTCCGAACCCACCTGACCGAACCGCAAGGTAAAATTAAAAGAATGATTCTTGAAAAAATAGAAACCCGGACAGCTCGCGCTGGTGTTATCGGGCTTGGATATGTCGGATTACCGCTTACGGTTGCGATCGCGAGTGCGGGGTTCCGAGTTACAGGCATCGATATCTGTTCAGAAAAAATAGCGCGATTGAAACAGAGCATCTCTGACATCCCCGATGTGACCAACGCAGTGCTCGCGCCCCTTATTACGTCTGGGCAGATTCAGGTGACAACAGACTTTTCTGTGCTCCGAGAATTGGACACAGTTAATATCTGTGTGCCGACCCCTTTAGGTGAAAACCGGACCCCCGACATGCGGTTTATCATCGCTGCAGTTCAGCAAGTTGCGCAATACCTCCACCCCGAACAACTGATCATCCTCGAAAGCACCACCTACCCCGGCACTACCGAAGAAGTCGTGCTGCCAGAACTCAACACCCCGTCCAGCACCATACAAGTAGGGCGCGATTTCTATCTTGCCTACTCACCGGAACGGATTGAGCCGGGAAATAGCACCTATTTCATGACAAATACCCCTAAAATTATCGGGGGTGTTACACCGCAATGCACCCACATCGCGAAAACCTTCTACGCACAGTTCATCAGTAAAACACACACAGTATCTTCACCCCGAACAGCAGAAATGGTGAAACTCTTAGAAAACACGTTTCGGAGTGTCAACATCGGCTTAATTAATGAGGTTGCGCTTATCTGTGACCGGATGGATCTGGACGTATGGGAAATCATTGACGCGGCTGCTACAAAACCGTTCGGATTTATGCCGTTCTATCCAGGTCCTGGGCTCGGTGGACACTGTATCCCAATTGACCCGCATTATCTCTCTTGGAAGGCACAGATGTATCAGTACCACGCTCGATTTATTGAGCTCGCGACCGAAATTAACAATGAAATGCCGAAATATGTGTTAGACAAAATCATCCACGCCTTGAACCTTCAACGTAAACCACTGAATGGAGCAAAATTATTAATCTTAGGGGTCGCTTATAAAAAGGACATCGGAGACATTCGCGAATCGCCTGCGCTCGAAGTAATTCGTTTAATTCTTGACAAAAAAGCAGAATTCCTATATCATGACCCCTATATAAAAAACCTGTCTCTTGATGAAAGAGAAACCTATTACTCAGAACCTCTAACAGTAGACCTGGTAGAAAGTGTTGATTGTGTTGTCATCCTAACCGACCACGGTGCTATAGACTACGACTGGCTCGTCGAGCATGCCCAACGGGTTGTTGACACACGCAACGCAACGCGCAGTGTGAAGAAAGGACAAGAAAAAATCACCAAAATTTAACTTACCATTTTCAGCGCAGCTTGAAATCAAAACTTGCTACAAGAAATCGGAGTATAATAATGTCAAACCCAAATTTAAGATTTCATATACAGCGGGACCAACTCACGTGGTTTCTCGACCTACTTTTAGATGAAAGAGAGATCTTTCAATTGAGTGCCTCTACTGGCATCGTACTCGATGTGGACCGGCTGTACGCCTTATCAAGGCGAGAATTACTCGTAAATTTAGCCGATGTGTTTTTGGATGTCGTTGGCACAGCAAAACCTGAACTAAAAAATCCGGAAACTTCAGTCAACACGTTAGTCAGCCAATTTCTTACTGAAAAGGCGCAGGCTGCGATCTCCCGAGTCGGGTATATGGAAATCTCCGAAATCGAAACGTTTTTCAAAACGTCTGATGTCCTCATAGAAGGTGGCGATTTTGGCGAAGTCGTCTGGGCACTTCTCAACGACCAACGGACCGCAGTTGTTGAGCATGGCTACAAACTCCTTAACACAACATACGAATCCATAGAAGTGACATATACAAATGGGAGCGGCAACTCCCATACTCTGGATCAATGGGAAAGACTTAACTCTCAATACGCTTACGACACAGAAAGCGAACTGCAACAGTCGGACGCACCTGTCCAAGAAATCGAGCACCTTGAACGACAACTGTCAAACTCTAAAGCAGACTATACCTCGCTTGAGCAAAAACATAGCCGGTTAGATCAACAACGAACTTTTCTATTAGAGGAAAACAGGGGATTAAAAACAAAAGCGGAGGAAAATCATGGAAACGAAAAACAATTGAAGACTCTTGAACAGGCAAATCACACACTTCGTGAACAGATAGCACAACATATTGAAGACACCGCCGAGCTACAACAGCTTGCCGACGAACATGAACACCTCCTCGCTGAAAGCGAACGGATGGCGGAACAACTGAAAGAATATGAACAAATTAAGGCAGCCAAGGAGACCTTCACTACCGATCTCAAGTTGGTTGAGGAAGCAGTCTACAAAGGTCATCAAGGACTCGAAGACTTTCAAACAACTCTTGACAGCCACTTCGATATTCTGGTAAATTGCCATCAGGCTGCACGAGGCGCGTTGAATCAGATTCGTCAAACTCTCGATTATCTGGATACACAGGAAATCGCCGGAGGTCAGGGTCCCTACAACTTAACGACGGAGCAACCCCGTGTCGGTGTGTTCGTTGATGTTCAAAATATGTTTTATGCCGCCAAAGATCGTTTTGGACGCAGAGTTGACTATATCAAACTCCTCGATTTGATAGTTGGACCACGGTATCTTATGGTAGCCTATGCCTATGTCGTCCAGATACCCGAAATCAACCAATCCAGTTTCCTGTCGCTTCTTGAACACAACGGTTATACGATTAAGAGTAAAGACTTGCGTTTGCGCGGCGATGGGTCTGCAAAGGGGGATTGGGATGTCGGCATTGCAGTGGATGTCGTTTCCATGCTCGGCTCACTGGATGTCGTTATTCTGGCAAGCGGCGATGGCGACTTTTGCCCGCTTGCTGAGCTCATCAAACAGCAAGATAAACGTGTGGAGGTTGTCGCTTTTGAACATAATACCTCCATGGATCTACAACAAATCGCGGACCAGTTCTTTCCAATCGGAGACGAGTTGCTCATCTGATTTTTAATTTTTCCTTGCGGTTAAACGCCGTGTGTTTGGAACTTTGACGTGCCGTTCTCAAATCCGCCCGCGCCGTTGTTGCAGGCTACAGGTTTGGTTTAAGGAGAGGAACGTCAAAATTCCCGAACCCAGTCGAAACGTAACCGAAAACCTGCGCGGAATCTAATAGAGCGCAGTCCAGGAGCCCAGAAATTAAAAGCCTTCTCACTATCCTTTCTGTGCTTATTGTAATAGATACAGCAAGCGCGGAATGGTCCTCCTCAGCGACAGAAAATCTCCCCTTATGCACAGCGCAGAACGAACAACACTTCCCTGTCCTCATTACCGACGGGCAAGGTGGAGCTATCGTAGCGTGGAGTGATGCCCGGCACGCGAATCGTGATATTTTCGCGCAGCGGATCAGCGCAACAGGTGACATTTATTGGGAAGCAAACGGTATCCCAATCTGCGACCTGCCCTCCTCGCAAAGTTGGCCCCTAATTGTCAACGATAGCGAGGGGGGTGCTATCCTCGTTTGGGGTGACACGCGTCACGGTAATCAGGATAGTTACGCACAACGCATCGACGCAAACGGAAACAAAGTGTGGGATCCCGAAGGTATACCGGTCTGTACGCACCCAACGCTGCAAGACGATTTGAACGCTATCGCTGACGGTAAAGGTGGCGTAATCGTTGCGTGGGAGGATTGGCGGAACGGGAAATCAAGATATTTATGCCCAAAGAATCGACAGCACTGGAAAACCGCTGTGGGAAGCGAACGGTGTCCCAGTCTACAGCGGTGAAGGGGATCAGTATGACCCGGTTTTAATCGCCGATGGGCAAGGCGGCGCTATTTTCGCATGGTGGGACATCAGCACTCCGGATTGGAACATTTTCGCGCAACGGTTGTCAGCAGATGGTAGTCCGATGTGGAATTCGGTTGATGACGCAGAAAATGCTCCAGTTTCCGTCTGTACGGCAACCGGTAACCAAGGTGCTCCGTCCGCCGTCAGCGATGAAAATGGCGGTGTGTTCTTCGTCTGGTCGGACTACCGTAATGACCCGAATTTTTATACGAGCGCGCAACTATACGCGCAACGCATAAATGCTGAAGGAAACGCGCTATGGGAAAAGGACGGCATCCCAATCTGCGAACTGCGTGTCAATCAACAACAACCGTACTGTATTCCAGACGGGAGTGGCGGTTTCATCGCCGCATGGTGGGACGAACGGGATATTTTCGCTGACATCTATGCCCAACGTATCAACGGAAACGGTGAAATGCTGTGGAATGACGAAAATGCCCAGTTCCAAAAAGGAGGTATACCTGTCTGCACTGGTGCGGGGGTTCAACGTCTCCCTCACATCGTGCCTACTGGTGAGGCTGGAGAAACTATCATCTATTGGCTGGATTATCGCGAAGATTTCGGGGATTCGACAGAGGATGCAATCTACGCACAACGGCTTGATGCCGATGGGAAGCCACTTTGGGAAATCAACGGTATCCCTGTTTGCCACGCACCGAAAGAGCAAATCACCCCTCAAGCTGTATCTACAGATAGTGGCGCAGCAATCGTCGTTTGGAGTGATGCGCGCGGACAAGACTACGACATCTATATCCAGCGTGTCCCGTGATAGCACCCACAGTCTAAAGACTGGGGCTTCGGCTTCGTCGCGATTGCGGTTTTCTCAAAGAGTCCACCGTCTTATTATCGCTCCACCTGCAGGCAATTATTCCGAATCAAATCGGTTTTATGGTCTCGTTAGACCGCTACCCCTGCCTGCAAAATGTTTATCGCAGCATTTATATCTCGGTCGTGAGAGGTGCTGCAGTTTGGACACGTCCAATACCTGTCCTCAAGTGTAAGTGTTTCATTCTTATGTTTACAGGCGTGGCAAGCTTTCGTTGTCGGTTGCCACTGTCCTGATTTCGCAAACACTTTACCATATTTGGCACACGTCCATTGAAGGATCAATGAGAACTCACCGAAGGCTATATCAGAGACTTTGCGTCCCCAAAGTTTTTTCATACCTTCAAGATTGAGCGTCTCAATCGCAATCTTATCGTATTTCCGAACAAGGCGGAGGGCTAACTTGAAAAACCAATCGCGTCTTCTATTGGCTATCTTCTTATGGACGCGGGAGAGGTGTCGTTTCGCACGAAAATAGCTATTCGATAGATATTGTTTACGGGAGAGCGCCTTGTTTGCGGAACGGATTGCGGTGAGACTCTGTTTATAGAATTGTGGAGAATCTATCTTTATGCCATCTGAAAGTGTGAGAAATGTTTTACAACCGAAGTCTGCCCCTGCCTCATTACCGGTCAATGGGAGTTTCTTGGGTAGTTTGGGATTCTCACAGACGAGATATAGATAGTAGTCGCCTACGTTATCACGTTTGATTATCACCTTCTTTATCGTGCCTGTCCACTTGCGGTGTTTCCAAAAGGTAAACGACTTTTTCAGACAGTTGATCGTCAGACGATTGTCTTCTATTTTCAAACCTGACTGTGTGAAAGTGATTGACTTATACTTGTGATTCGGCTTGATTTTCGGTTTGCCGACTTTGCGGTTCGTTTTACCTGCCTTGCGATCTTCAATGTTATCAAAGAAACGCTGATAGCCTAAATCTATACGGATCGCAACGTCTTGTATCATTTGCGACGGGAGTTGATTCCAATTAGGTTTGCTTGTTCGTTTCAACTTCGTTATGTGTTTCAGGATACGAGAAAGTGAGGCATACTTACGATAGATACGATAATAGCGTCTCTGCAATAATATCAGGTGGACATGCACACTATGCAAATCGTCTATCAGATTGCCAATTTGTATGATATTCGACTGGTGATATAACTCGTATTTTTCTGTCTTCATAGGAATCAGGTATCAGGCGGTTATCCCCTGTTTAGGGGGAGGCAGACACGCAACCAAGCGGTTACGCTAAACATGTCTGCCAAACCTGATGTTCTAATTATACAACATTTTAGACCATAAGTCAAATCTATTTTCAATGATAAACCCATACACCGTCTACATCCCACAAGCTAAAGCATGGGGATTTGACGGAAGATCGTTAACAAACAAGGAGAAATCTTATGGCAAAGCGCACTCAAAGTGCTCCTGCAAAACGTGCGATCATTATCGGGATGGATGGCGCGAGCATGGAACTGGTCAAAAACATGATTGATTGGGGACACACCCCGAATATGGCGAAGTTAGCCCAAACAGGCGTTTACCGACCGATGATCGGGGTATTCCCGACATTGACACCGCCAGGATGGACGGCACTCTCTACCGGTTCATGGCCCGGAACACATAAGGTGATGGACTTAATATTCGTGCTTTAGGAGAACGCCTTGATGAAACGGTATGGGGTATTAATACAGGCTTGTGTCAATCCGAATACCTTTGGAATCTCGTAGAACGAGTAGGTGGAAAACCGATTTTGGTGAAATGGGAAATGTCTTGGCCCCCCACCGTCAAGACTGGCATTCAGGTCGAAGGAACAGGACCCGGTGTCTCGAACCATCATCAGGTCGCTGGGTATCATCTCTTTGTCGCAGGAAAATGGGCAGCGCGCCCTATCGGCGGACAGCGCGATCCTGAGACACTCGATCCGAGCGCGTTACAGAACGTTCCACACATTGATCCCGTCACCATTGAACCGGTTGAGAACGGAAAATGGGATGCCCTGCCTGATTCCACAGAACCCGTGCGAGAGGTTGAACTTACCATTCAACCCTTGGCGCGCGGCAGAGAAGATGTGATGCCTTCAGTCTATTCCAACGGTGAAGCCCCTGACGAAACACGTATTCCAAAACCGTTTTATGGATTGATTTACGCCTCTGGCGATAACGGCTATGATCGGGTACGGATCTGTCGGAGCCGGTCTGGAGATGATTCCGTGGCAGACCTGGGTCCCGGTGAATGGAGCGAGTGGTGGTTGGATACTTTTGAAATTGAAGCGGCTGAAGTGGAAGGTTACGTCCGAATGAAACTCGTGACGCTCACCCCGACAGCGGACGCTTTTGAACTTTTCGTCCCACAAATTTGGCCGAGAGAAGGATACACGGTGCCAGAGACAATCGCTACCACGATTGACACTGAAATCGGCTCATTCCTTCAAAATCCGGCTCGCGATGCGCTTGGACAAATGGACGACGATACCTATTTCGAGTTGCTTGACTACCACCATCAACGCCTCGCGGATGTCGCGACTCACCTTGCAACAAACAACGATTGGGATGTCCTAATGGTGGAAAGCCATGCCCCGGACTACGCCAGTCATTTCTTCCTCAGCCAAGCAGATGAAATCAGTGGCGCAGCACCTGAGACAATTCACCGATGTCGTGAGGGGTTACGGCGAACGTATGAATCTGTGGATCGGATGATTGGGCAACTAATGGAACAAGCGGATGAAGAGACCGTAATTCTCGTCTGTTCCGACCACGGCGGCACCCCTAATCAATTCCGTGCCGTAGACATCGAAGAAGTGCTCGAAGAGACAGGATTCATCGTTAAAGACGGAAACGGGGCAATAGACTGGACGAAAACACGAGCAGTTAATGTCGGGTTAGTGCATATCTTCATTAACTTAGCGGGACGTGAACCGAATGGGATCGTTGCCCCTGAGGACTATGAAGCAACGCAGCGTGAACTCATCGCAGCATTGCATACCTATAAGGACGAAAAAACCGGACGACACCCCTTTACGTTAGCCGTGACGCGGGCGGATGCAGAGATGTTTAATTTACACGGAGATTTGGTCGGTGATGTCGTCTACGCACTTCGACCGGAGTTCGACGGTGCGCACGGCAAGCAGTTACCCTCTGTGAGTTTCGGCATTGGTGGTCAGCACTCTACATTCATTCTATCAGGTGCAGGGGTTCGACAAGGGGTTGCGTTGCAACGACAAGTTCGCGTCGTGGATGTCGCACCGACGCTCTGCTACCTATTGGGGCTTCCGATGCCTAACAACGTGGAAGGTGGTGTCGTCTACGAGGCGTTAGAGGATCCAAATTGGCATTTGACTTATTTACAGTCGTCAGTTGTCAGTTAACCAATATTACATTTCTCGCGCAATTCTTCTAAAGTATATGTGTTGATGACTTCGTTTTTTGTCAACCACCCGCGACGGGCGACATTCAACCCAGATTGACGGTGCGCGAGTTGCCTGATGGCATGTGCATCAGTGTTAACTGCCAATAGCACACCTGCTTTTTTTGCCATACGCACAAATTCAGGGTCGAGATCCAATCGACTCGGCGAACCGTTAATTTCCAAAACCGTTTTATTTTCCGCGGCGGCTTCAATAATTTCCTCAAGATTCAGTGGATACATAGCTCTACGTCCGAGCAGTCTACCTGTGGGATGACCGATGATGTTGACGAACGGATTTTCGATCGCGCGAACGATGCGCTGCGTCATCTCTGCTTCGGATAGCGTGAAATGGCTGTGAACGCTTGCAACGATAATATCAAGTTGTTCTAAAACTTCATCAGGATAATCCAGATCGCCGTACCGTCGAATATCTACCTCAGAGCCTGCGAGGACTGTGATACCCTCAACCTCTGCATCCAATTCGCGAACCCGCGCCACCTGTTCCAAAAGCTCCTCTCGATCCAAGCCGTTTGCAACGGTAGAGGAGACAGAATGGTCGGTGATAGCGAAGTACTCAAGCCCCTCTGCTTTCGCCGCTGCCACCATATCCTGGAGCGTATGTCGTCCGTCACTCCAATCGGTATGTGCGTGTAAGTCGCCACGCAAATCGTTGAACGCAACGAGGGTTGGCAAAGCACCCTCTTTAGCGGCTGCGACCGAGTCCCTATCCTGTCGAAGCTCCGCCGGAATATAGGAGAGACCGAGTTTTTCATATATTCCCTCTTCCGTCATATCACGCGCTTCATGCCAAAAGCCAGTCAGGTTCAGAAAACTGTTATCAGAAAGCGCGTCAATGTGCGCGTCTGTCGCGGTTGTCAAGAAAAGGGTTGCCTCGTAGGTAGCAGCAGTACACAGATAGACAGATATCGGAAAATCACGGTCAATATAGAATTGAATCACGGGTAGCGTGTCGCGCACATCGCCTATCGGTTCGCGCTGACTTTCTTCAATGAGAGATCGGCTTTCGCTGTCATATACGTACTGAATCTGGCTGTCCGTTTTAAAAACGATCTGGGTCTGCGAAAAATGCTCAAGAAATGATTGTAGCGGCGCAGGCACGACACCACTTTCAAACCGAAACACCCGTTCGTCTTCGCATTCAACAATCAACGCTACACTTTGACAAACCTCCTCATGCCGCCGTAAATCACCTGTAAATTGGTGGCGTTTTATCCAGCCATCATTTATCAATGGCGTCAGATGATTGGAAATGTCTTGGGCAGTGGGTAAAATTCGCCATAGCGGACGTTTGTTCCTTTGTTCTACCTGAAACGCCAAACTCTCAGTTATCATCTGGCGCGTTTTCCGTCCGATGCCCTTCATGTTCCTCATCTGTCCGCTTCCAATCAAGGCTCCGAGATCCTCAAGATTTCTGATCCCGAGTTCCTGATAGAATCTTCCAACGGTTTTTACACCGACCCCTCGAAGATTGAGCAATTCAAGGATCTCTATTCCCATTTCAGCGGTGAGTTCATCATAGAATTTGCAGCGTCCAGTTTCCAACATTTCAACGGTCTTGTCTTCAATGGCTTTCCCAATACCGGGTGTGGCTCGGAGTCTCTCTACGGCTTCCGTATTATAACCCGGTGTGCTTTGTTGGGAATCTTTGGAAACCAATTCATCGGGGAATTCTTCAATTATATCGGCGGCTCGTTCATAAATCCGAGAGCGAAAAGCATCGTCCCCGCGAATTTGTAGGAGGGATCCGATGGCTCTGAACACAGCGCTGATGTCACGATTTGTCATTGTAGATAATCTCCGGGAAGCACGAACAGTTACGCAAACTTCTGTTGCGCGACAAAACCGGCAAGGAGCCCAACTGCCATTTCACCGACAACAATCAGAATAGACTGATAAATCGTAAGGAAATCGACTGCCCCTAATTGGGATTTGAATATATAAAACATTCCGTAAAAGCAGCCAAGTCCACACAATGCGCCAAGACCACCAAGGAAAAGTCCATGAGTAACAAAAGGGGTGAGGAGATAATGGCGGGACATGCCGAGGAGTTTCATGAGGACGATCTCCTCTGCGCGGGCAATCGCTGTTTTGTTGATAACAGAACCGATAATGAACCAGATAACGACAACTGCTATTCCGATGGCGATGAAAGTCGTACGCTCTGAATCGCGTAAACGATCTTTCAACTGACCCTGCCCGGTCAAGAGCACATCCTCAATTTCGCTATGCGCTTTAATGTTCAATACAATCTGCTCTAAAGTTTTACGCGTTATCAAGTCCTCGTCCACATAAATTTTGAGGGATGCCGGAAATGGATTTACGCCTCTGGTCTCTGCGAATGCCTCCTTAATGAGGATACCCAAATCCTGAAACTGGGTTTCACCGCGGGCGAGGCTTTCTGCCTTTGAAGCATAATTGACAGCGATCACCTGCCCATTTTTCTCTATCTGGCTCACCAAGGTGCGCCCAGCAGACTCATCAACAGTATCTTTTAGAAACGCGATAAGGGTAGGGGCATGGCTCTTAAACTCAGATTGCTGTAATATAAACGAATGGTTCGACAGTAAAGTGGCAAGTAAGACAGTGATGAAACCGATGGCAAAGAAACTCATCACACTTGCACTGCCGGCACGGGCTATATGGGATATGGCATTCTTAAGGTGATAACGCATTTTTCGTGTGTTTTTTTACACTCGCGAAAGTGGAAACGAACCGTAGTGCGGCGCAGAAGCCTTGCCTAACAATTTAGAGACGCGGCGGCATAGGCACTCAATGGATGCCACCATCCCGTAGTTCAATAATCCGCTTATTACATTTCTCAGCGAGTGTTCGGTCGCTTGTGGAGACGAAAATAGTCATCCCCTGAAAGTTAAGCGCATCAAGAAGTGCCATCACCTCAAGCGAAAGGAGCAAATCTAAGCCTTCTGTGGGAGCATCCGCAAGCAGCAACAAAGGATTGTTGATAATTGCTCTCGCTAGAGCAAGGCGACGTCGCTCGTTGCCAGATATTTCTGATGGGAACGCATTGTGATGGTGATATAGCCCCATCTGATTCAGGAGTTTATCGACATTTTCCTTAATCAACTGCGTTGGGGTCCCTATCAGTCGCTGGGGCAGTGCCAAATTTTCCCGAATTGTCTTGTTTTCTAAGAACTTGAAATCTTGAAAGACGAGCCCTATCTTCTGCCGAAAGTAGGGTAGACTGACTTTGTCTAACCTCGCAAGTTGTTGTCCAACTACACTCAGATCACCGCCTACTGGGTCTAAATCAGCATATAACAGCCGCAAGAGTGTTGTCTTGCCAGCACCACTTGGACCAACGAGGAACACAAATTCGCCGCGCTCCACGCGGAAGCTCACCTTCTCGAGTACGCTAAGTTCGCCATAACTGAAACTGATTTGGTGCAACTGTATCATTTTTTAATGGCTTTCGGCTGTCGGCTTTCAGTTTCCGTCAGTAAGAATAGGAAACCATCGGCTATCGGCTATTTCCGCTGACTGCCGACGACTGACTGCCGACGGCTATTTTGTATAGTCACATTCTGATGTGCGGCATGCAAGACGCGTGGTTACGACTTCACTACCTTTCGCCTTTTCCGTCTTTTCAACGAGAAACGGCGCGTTGCATTTTGGACAAGGTTCTGGCACAGGTTTATCCCACGTCGAGAATTCACACTTCGGATAGTTGCTGCAACCATAAAAGACCTTTCCACGTCGGCTACGCCGTTCACCAAGGTAGCCATCACAATCAGGCTCTGGACAATCAATTCCCATTGGAATCGGCTTTGCATTTTTGCATTTTGGGTATCCACTGCACGACAAAAATTTTGCACCGGCGCGGCTTACCCTGATAACCATCGGTTCACCACACTTGTCACATGCAGTATCGGTCGGCTCCGGTTCCGCAGTGGGAGCGTCATCTGCGGATGTTAAACGCTTGATATTCTGACATTCTGGATAATTGGCACAACCCAGAAAACGCCCATATCTCCCCCACTTGATGATCATATTGGTCCCACACTTTTCACACTTTTCGTCCGATTGCTCTTCCATCGCCTTTCGGGCTTCATACATCCTATCCGGGGCTTCCTTGAGCGCAGTTTGGAATGCGGGATAAAACTGTCCTAACGTCTCTACCCACTTAACTTTGCCATCAGCGATGACATCAAGCTGATCCTCCATTTTTGCTGTGAATTCAACGTCAACGATGTTGGGAAATCCGTGTTTCAGGAGTTCGTTAACGAGCCTTCCAACATCTGTAGGCAAAAGCCTGCCCCGCTCTTTAGTTACATACCCTCTGTCCTGAATTGTCGACAGAATAGAGGCATAGGTACTCGGACGTCCAATTTCTTTCGCTTCCAGCATTTTGACAAGCGTGGCTTCGTTATAACGAGGCGGTGGTTGTGTGAAATGCTGTTTCGGTTCTAATTTGCGTAGATTAAGTGTGTCTCCTTCTTTAACGTCGGGTAAGTTGACATCTTCTCCGTCCGATTCACGTTCATCAGTAGCAGGGTCATCCTTACCTTCCATATAGACGCGCCTGAATCCTTGAAATTTCATAACTGAGCCGGTGGAGCGGAAGAGATAAGTGCCTGCTTGGATGTCAATTGTTGTGCCATCAAAAATAGCTGGGTTCATCTGGCTCGCTATAAACCGCATCCAAATGAGTTCATAAAGTCGAAACTGATCATTACTCAAATATGGCTTCAAGTCTGCGGGACTTTGCAACGGCAGGGTGGGACGGATCGCTTCGTGTGCGTCTTGCGCGCCTTTTTTGGTCTGATAATTAACAGCCCGATTGGGTAAATACTCTTCACCAAATGTTGTTTTGATGTACGCCCGCGCTGCTTGGAGTGCCTCTTGGGCAACACGCGTTGAATCGGTACGCATGTAGGTAATGAGCCCGATTGAACCCTCGCTGCCAATCTCCAGTCCCTCATAGAGTTGTTGGGCAATAAACATCGTCCTTTTGGCAACAAAACGGAGTTTTCGAGACGCTTCCTGTTGTAAGGTGCTCGTGATAAACGGAGGTACAGGCTTCTGTTTCCGTTCGCGCTTTTGGACTTTTTCAACGAGATATGCTTGTGTCTTTGCGTCTGCAGCGAGTTCTTTGGCACGCGCTTCGTCTATACGAAACCCGTAGTTATTAATTTCGCCCTTCTTTTTCCCAATTCTATGTAACTTTGCGGGAAAGAGATGCTGAACCTCGGTCGGTGTCAATGTTGCTGTGAGCGTCCAGTATTCTTCTGATTTAAACGCCTCAATTTCTGCTTCACGCTCACAAATAAGTCGTACTGCGACGGACTGAACTCTCCCAGCACTGAGACCGGGTTTGACACTACGCCACAAAATGGGGCTAATCTGGTATCCAACGAGCCTATCCAAAACGCGGCGCGCCTGTTGTGCATCAACGAGCGCCATATCAATATCGCCCGGTTTTTGGATTGCTTCTAAAATTGCGTTTTTGGTGACTTCGTTGTAGGTTATCCGGTAGATAGGCTTCTTGGTCTTTTTGAGTTCCTCAAAAAGATGCCAACAGATAGCTTCACCTTCGCGATCTGGATCTGCTGCAAGATAGATATTATCGACCTTACGCGCTTCGCTTTGGAGGGATTTCACGACCTTCCCTTTTCCCCGAATCAAAACATATTTGGGGGCAAAGGCATTCTCAATATCGACACCGAGCTCCTTCGGTGGGAGATCGCGGATATGACCAACGGAGGATTCAACAATGTAATCCGCACCTAAAATCTTTTTGATAGTCTTTGCTTTCGCCGGCGATTCAACAACGACGAGTGACTTTGGCATGTTTAATTCCTATTTTATGTATATTCAGATTGCTAAGTGCACCGATATGATAGACTCAGTTTTCAATGTAGTGTTAGCAACTCTCGTCAAAGGCGAAATGTGTAAGGTGCAATACACCGGAGCAGATTTCCTACAACACGCAATTATGTCATAATTACACATCTCTATTAACGTCCATAGTTATTAACGGTTTCATGTCCCGTTCATTAGTCCATTTGCGGTATAAGGCACAAGTTCTATTTTCGGATGGGGAAAGAAGAAAGAAGACAGTTTCACGCATTAGGAGGCGAAAGCAATCAGATCTACAAGCATCTGACGCATATCCGCCCGGTGAACGATCGAGTCGATGAATCCATGTTCCAGCAATGCCTCTGCCTTCTGAAAGTCTTCCGGGAGTTCCTCACGGAGGCTGGCAACAGCTAACGGACCCGCGAAGCCGACCCGCGCACCCGGCTCAGCAACGATCACATCACCGAGTGAAGTATAACTGGCAGTTGCACCACCAAACGTCGGATCAGTAACAACGGAGATATAAAAGACCCCCGACTTAGCATACTCCGCACAAGCGGCAGCAGTTTTCGCCATCTGCATTAAAGCGAGCGTGCCTTCTTGCATTCGCATCCCACCACTCACAGAGACAATCACTAACGGCAACCGGTTCTCAAGGGCGCGTTCAATACATCGGGTAACCTTTTCACCAATGACAGAGCCGCATGTGCCGCCTATAAATCCGACATCGCCTATCGCAACAGCGGTTGGATAACCACCGATATTGACTATGCCAGAGAGCATTTCGGATCTGAGTCCTGTTTTTGCGACATCCCTCTCCAGTTTTTCCGGATATTCTGGGAATTCCAGTGAATCAATAGAGTAAAGATTCGCATCGTATTCCTCAAAACTATCCACATCTATGATGAGGTTGAGTCGCTCATGAGCACTCATATAGTGATGGTAATCGCAGTGTGGGCAGACCTTGAGATTTTTAGCGAATGTCTCTGTCGCAATCTGCGCATTGCAATTTCTACATGGAATTGTTTTTGAAGTTTCGGACATTTTTTCTAATTGATAGGGCGAGGTTACAACCTCTATCAGAAAAAGCGAAAATAGGGCGAGGTTACAAACCTCGCCCAATGAAAAAATAAGTTACGAATTTCAGTATTAACGTCCTGCTTTCAGGCGGCTCCAGGTCGTAGAGAGTTTCCCTGCTGCTTCAACAGCAAGCGCATCCACGCCCTGTTCCATAAACGTATTGATTTCATCCTCGCTGAGTGCGCGATTCCAGAGACGGACCTCGTCAATAATTCCAGCGAAGACGTAGTTAAGACGATCGCAATCCTGTCCAACCCGCCACGGATCGTCGTTGGCTTTGAGCTTACCGGGGATAGCCCCTTCAACTACCTCCTCGCCGTCAATGTAGATTTTGCCTTTCTTGGTATCGTTGGTGAAAGCAATATGGATAAATTTCTCGGTGTCAGGCAGAGCAGTTGCAATATCGACGTTACCTGCTTCGGTTTCAAAACGGAGTTTGAAGGTGCCAGCTTCACTAAACAATCCGTATTGAACCCTGCCAGCACAACCACCGTGAACGGATTTACCGACAATCTGGCGTGTGCCGTTCCAGTGCTCAGCGTTAACCCACGCCATGAACGAGCATTCATCCACGTTTAATTTGGGAGTGCTCTCAACAGTGACAAAAACGTCGCTGCCTTCACCACCAAATTCCAACGCCTTCCCGAACTTTCCATCAACCCATGTGGGGTTGTCAATTACACCCACGTGTTTGTTTCCGCTAAGATCTTCTGCTTCGGCATTTTTCCCTTCATCATAAGGGTGGTATAGCACCAAGCCGTCCAGAAACTCTTCTGGACCGATAGACATAGCGAAGGGGGTCACCACCAAAAGCAGTGCAATGGATAAACAAATACCTAATCTCATCATCAGATTTTCCTCCCTATAGATAAAGATAAGATATTATAACAAACGGGAAAACATCTGTCAACAAAAAATAGAAGAGTAGCCATCAACTATCAGTCAGTACGCGTCGCGAGCAAATCTCACTCCTACAGAAGAAGAGTCATCAGCAATCAGCGGTCAGCGACCCGTAAGAAAGAAGTGAGGTGTATCCACCGCATACTGATAGGAACCGAAAGGTGGCGTGGTTTCCACCGTCCTGAAAGCCGACAGCGAATATTGTCGGGATTCGGATATCCCTCCTACAGCGGGGAAATGGGAGAGTTGTAGGCATCAAGCGTTCAAGCCGAGTTGCGTGCCCAGTTCCATCAACTTCCTGTTAATCCCTGTTTTATCAATCCGATTACCATCGACAAATTCTTGGTACTCTGGTAACAACCCGTCTGGAATCATGATACGGGAATTCGCCTCTCGCAACGCTAATAACCCCATGAAGATTTGCATCTCCCGTGAATAATCTGGAATGAAGTCGTTTAGTGTTTGACGGAGTTCGGCTTCAGTGAAGGTATCGCGCCCGTCGCGTCTCGCGATGTTACTCGCACGTTGGACAATCAAGAACAGGTCCCGCCACGTCAACCCATCTGTTTCTGAGCCGCCGACGAGCGCCTGAAAATTGATGTTACCTGATGTTTGTCCTTGGCAAAATATTTTTAGAATTTCCACTCTGCCTCCACCGACAGGCGGTAGCATGATTAATTTGGTGTCGAAAATGCCATATCGTCGAAAAATCTGCGGCATCAGGTCGGGACGGCTTGATGCTCCCACCCATATCACTCTCCCGTGCAAAGATGTATCACTCATAGCATTCACGAGGGCTTGAGGAAACGTCTGCTGTTCCTCCGGATGCATTGCGGTATGCGGCGATGCCTGCTCAATCTCATCCATAAAGACAACCGTCGGTGAAATGCCTCGGATAAAATTGAGACCTGCATTGAGATTCCGTTCATAAGTGTTCCCATTCTCATTGATATTTACTGTTATCTCGCCTACCTGATTGGCATAGCGGAGTTGGACGAGGGTCATGTTCGCCTCACCAGCGAGTACCTTTGCAGCGTAAGCCTTGCTGGTCCCTGGCGGCCCGAGTAAAAGGATGCCTCGTGGCACGCGTCGCAAATCCCGATGTTTCACACCCTCCGCGATATCCCGAATTGCCCATATTACATACCAACCGTCGTCAGAAGGGCCTCTTTCAGTTTCCCCCAGTTCAAGGATACCATGGCTGAAAGTCTTAATGCTCTCACGTCGGTATCTGACCAATGGTTCACCACCCGCTTTCTGCTGTGCAGATTCCGCCTGTTTCACAACATCATGAATGCCGAACAGGTTGAGTCCTATTGTCTCGCGGGCATGGGACTCTCTGTCGCGCTCGTTCCCAAGGCTTGCCCGCATTTGCGACGGCGGTTCTGAAATGGCATGGAGATATTCAATAAAATGGAGTCGTTGGGGATAGTCTGGAAACGGAACCTCTATCAGAGGGATCTCCGGATTCACGGTGAGATTGGGATGGATATCAAATGTGTTATGGGTGAGAAGCAGAATGATGTGTTTGCGCTTTCGGATTTCCAAATCGGATGCCCAATTCTGTATCTGGTTGAAAAAGCGCTGTAAATCATCGTTAGAGGCACTACTCAGCGAAGGATCGTTTGGTGCAAGTTGCTCCAGAAAGTTGATTACCAATCCAACCCTCACTCTGTCTTGCCGCAAAAGATGATTCAATCTTTCCTTCAACTCCTCAGAAGGCGCGGGATCTATGTGCATGACCGGGTCTTCATGAGGTTTATCGAATGCCAAAGTAGCATTAATTCTTCGGCGTGCGACTTGCGGATCTACCTCATGCTCAACGGGATTCGCGTCCTCTGCTTCCTGAAAACGTCGAAGTGTCTGAAGCCATGTCGCTATACTCTGGAAATGAAAAACGCCGGTTTTCTCGTACTTTGGAACAACCCCGAGCATTTTTTGCGTCGCTTGCCACCGTCCAATATTAGGTAAATGAATGCCTTGTGAGCTATTATATCCGAGGACGAGTTCACAGCCCAACACATTGAGTTGCTCCATGAGGTACTCATGGGTGGGTAAGTAGCCGTAGACCTCATCATATAGCAAGTCTTGGACGTTAAAATGGAGCAGAAATTGGTGTGCGGATCCAGCGTTGTAGTGTCTTTTTACCTGTTCCCAAAACATTTTTTAATTTTACCTTGCGGAGAAATTAAGTGGGTTTCAAATTTGATAGTTTTTTCTTAAATCCGCCCTCCACTTCGTTACGGGCTACGGGTTTTATCATCAAAAGAGGTAGGCGCGCGTGGGAGGCGCGCCTACGATGTTTTTAATGAGCAGTTTTGATGCCGCCCCAAGTGGTGGCTAATTTCGCGCGAGGATCAACAGACACACCTAAGTCTTGTGCACCTGCAATTTCGTCAGCACTCAAAGCACGGTTCCAGAGAGAGACCTCATCTATTATGCCTGCAAAGACATAGTTGAGGCGTTCACAATCCTGCCCGATCCGCCACGGATCGTCGTTGGCACCCAGCGTTCCTGGCACTCCGCCCTCCTCAACTGCTTCAGCGTTGAGGTAGATTGTTGCGGTTTCACCATCGTTGGTAAAGGCAACGTGCACCCACTCGCCTGTTGGCGGAAGATCGGTGTCAATGTCGGCTCTACCACTTTCGGTCTCAAAGCGGAGTTTGAAGACACCACCTTCACTGAACAGTCCGTATTGCGTTCTACCCGCACAACCACCATGAACGGATTTACCAACAATCTGGCGCGTGCCGTTCCAATGATCGGCGTTAATCCATGCCGCAAATGTACATTCGTTCACGTTCAAGACATCCGTGCTTTCAACGGTGACGAACACATCGCTGCCATCGCCGCCAAACCTGAGAGCCTTCCCAATCTGTCCATCAACCCAATCCGGGTTGGAAATTTCACCATCGTGTCCGTTACCACTCGCGTCTGCAGCGAGTGTGCCTTCTCCTTCATCGTAAGAATGATGGAGGATAAGACCGTCGCTAAGATTCGCCGAGACGAACGGTGTGAATAACATAGACAGTGCTACCAAGAGACACAGAATTCCATAGAATGAGAATTTGCAAGTCGATATTGCGTTTTTCATGTTTTGCCTCCTAAGAAAATATAAGATATTATAACAGGTTTACGTAATTCTGTCAAAGGAAATTGCTATGAATCAGAAAAGCAGCAATTTGTTGGGTTTCACTCCGTTGTCGAGGACATACACCGGTCATCCTGTTTGAAGCGTGTTTGGGGTGCATTACACTTTTCAGTAGCGTTCAACCCATAGGTGTCAATTTAAGAAAAATGGATGTGTTTTTCACAACGAGAAGAGGGTTCTCAGGTGGAAATATCTTCCGGGTCGTCTATAAAATGTGCCGTGAATATATGTTCTTCAGCCCCAGCGGGGCGGCATTTGTGTAGCATGCGGGACCCCCAAATATCCAAGCCCCAGCGGGGCGACATCTATCATGTCCGCAGACCAACACCTATTGATTTTTCCTACCGCTATAGATGTCACCCCTCCGGGGTTCAAGGATCTTTTGGACGTTTTTCTACAGAGATGTCACCCCTCCGGGGTTCAAGAGGCATTCGCGCCGAAAGCATCTGTAGAGACACTACAACACATACCGAGAAATGTCCCTAAATTGACACCTATGGGTTCACCTGCGTTCAACCCAACCGACGCTCCTAACAGGATGAAAAAACGGAAAATGAAATAGTCAACAGAGCATCTCAGAGCCATTCAACCACTGTAAACAGTTTCTGTTTTTTGGATGAGTTCTGTTTTTGTTGGATATATTGATTTTCAGTGCTTCAGTGGGGCGTGCGGCGAAAAATCGGAACGCCTTAGCTATGTGTGTATATCCACAAATACGTAGGAGTGTTAGGACGGTATTGCGTAGAGCTGCCATGACTTGTGGAATGTTGCCACATCGCACCTGTGAGGCATCCTCGCCCAGAAGCACGTCGCGTGTGCGATGGGAGAGATTTTCTATCGCCCAATGTCCGCGTCGGATCTGTAATAAGCGTTTGGCAGTTGCTTGATGTGGCGATAAACTCGTAATGCCATATTGTACCTGGTGGGTGATCTTCTGTGTGCGTATATGCTTGCGCTCTGATCTGTATTCATAGACTTGCGCAAGTCCCGGCCAAGTCAAGTGTTCGTTGAGCAAAGTGGAGGTCGTCAAAGTTCGTGTTGTGATGTATCCATGTGCCTTTTCTACAGTGGAAGCCGTGTCGGTATGTGCTTTCGCCTCATGATGCAGTGTTTCAAAGATGCGTGCTTGATATGCTTGAGGATCCACGTCATTCTTCGGCGGTGATTCGGGTTCAAAGAGACATTGTATGTCTTGATATGTCAGTTTCTGATTCGCTTTGACGGGTAAGACATAATCTGCTTTTTTTCCCGCAGTGTTTGGCAAAAATCCTTCTGTGTCAGCAAGGCGTCGGTTGTGATGATCTTCCCGGAGACATCAAGTGCCTGAAGTATCTCTATAGCGATAGGTATCTCATTTGTTTTGGCATCAACCCATAGTGTCAATTTAAGAAAAATGGATGTGTTTTTCACAACGAGAAGAGGGTTCTCAGGTGGAAATATCTTCCGGGTCGTCTATAAAATGTGCCGTGAATATATGTTCTTCAGCCCCAGCGGGGCGGCATTTGTGTAGCATGCGGGACCCCCAAATATCCAAGCCCCAGCGGGGCGACATCTATCATGTCCGCCAGACCAACACCTATTGATTTTTCCTACCGCTATAGATGTCACCCCTCCGGGGTTCAAGGATCTTTGGACGTTTTTTTCTACAGAGATGTCACGCTCCGGGGTTCAAGAGGCATTCGCCCGAAAGCATCTGTAGAGACCTACAACACATACACGAGAAATGTCCCTAAATTGGACACCTATGGGTTCACCTGCGTTCAACACACCAGACGCTCCTAACCAGGATGAAAAAACGGAAAATGAAATAGTCCACAAGCATCTGTTTTTGTCTTGACAACCAAACGGCATTCTGCTATAGTGAAACCAAGAAACATCGCATCAAATGGGTCTATCAAATTTCATTTTGGTAAGGAGGTCAAGGCAGAAAAGAACAGGAACAGCACGAACGAAAATCCAAAACATCAAAGATATGAAAAAAACACGCGGCGATTTGACCCAAGGGAGTCTTCTAAGACACCTGTTACGGCTGTCAGGACCGATAATACTCAGCTACATTCTTCAAGAGGCATTCAACATCGTCGATATGATCTTCGTTGGGAGGCTCGGTGCTGGCGCGATCGCGGCTGTCGGCGTGAGTGGAAACTTAATCCGGTTAATCGGGGTTTTCTCGCTTGGCATTTCAACAGGAGCGGGGATTATGGTGGCACAGTACCTTGGAGCAAGGAACCTCGCGCAGGCTGAGCACATCGCCATGCAGTCAGTCCTGTTAGCTGTTTTTTTCTCCATCGGTGTGACCCTCGTCGGTTATCCCTTAGCTGAACAAGGTTTACTCGCTGTCAGAATGGTAGATCCAGAGGTATTAAGACTCGGCACTACTTACATGCATATCATTCTCGCCGGTATTAGTACGATGTTCGTTTCAATGACTCTCGGTTCTGTCTTTCGCGCCGGTGGCGACACAATCACCCCAATGGTGGTGCTGATTTTCGCAACACTGATTAATATCACGCTTGATCCTTTATTAATCTTCGGTTTATGGGGATTCCCGAAACTGGGGGTCGCAGGTTCCGCGTATGCGACGCTTATCGGGCGCGGGGCGAGTGTAATTATTCTACTTTATCTCTGTTGGAGTGGACGTGCACCCGTTTCATTGCGGCGCGCTCAGTATCAGGTAGACCTCGTGGAAATGCTTGACATTTTAAGGCTCGGCGTTTACAGTTCTATGCAAGGGTTTTGGCGGCATATTTCGCGACTCGGGTTCCTGTGGGTAATCGGACCCTATGGTAAGACGGTTGTAGCGGCATATACGATTTGTATGCGGCTTCGGATTATGGTAATGAATCCCGGTTTCGGCATTGCAAACGCAGTTACCCCCTTAGTCGGGCAGAATTTAGGTGCAAATCAGATAGAACGTGCTGAGAGATCCACACGGGTGGCGAACCTTTTAGGTGCTGCGATCATGGCAGTCATCGGCGCAGTTTTCTTCCTTTTTCCAGAGGCATTCATTCGGATTTTCACACCGGAAACGGATGTTATCAAGATAGGTATGGTTTATCTACAGTTTCTGTCCCCGACATTCGGATTCATCGCCTTTTCGCTCATCTTAGGAAGAGCACTCAACGGTGCCGGAGATACCTTCTCTCCGATGGTGATTACACTCGCGGCACAGGTAGGCATCGGTTTGGGACTCGTGATTCTACTTTCGCACTTCATCGGGCTGAATGGCGTTTGGTTAGGGATCGCCCTCTCAAACGTTGTGCAAGGTATCGCGATGTGGCTTTGGTACAGTACGGGTAAGTGGAAGGCAATAAAAATTCTTAAAAAGAAACCAAAAGTAGCGTAGGACACAGCACAGCAACGTATCCTACAAAAAATTCAAAAGGAGTTGTCGAATGATGGAAACCTACAAAGGTTACGAAAATCCACAACTGGTCATCTCTGCTGAGGAATTGAAAGGCACACTCGACGATCAAACGTTCTGCATCGTCGATACGCGACCGACTTATGAATATATTCGAGGACACATCCCCGGTGCGCTTCATTTAGATTTGTTCGGTTTAAGCCTAATCGATACTCGGAAAGAGACGTATGACACTTTTATGTGGATGATAGCATATCTGTTTCAGCAACGCGGTCTTGATGCGAGAAAACCGATTGTATGGTATGAAGACATTTCGGGAACGCGCGCGTCCCGAGGGTTTTGGTTTTGTGAGTTATCTTAGGGCATCCAGAAACCCGTTTATTAGATGGTGGTTTCAAGGCGTGGCTATCGGCAGATGGACCTATTAGTACAGCGGGTGCTGAACCACCGGAAAGTGCCGCCTTTCCCATAAATGCTCAACGCGATATACACATGGATGCCGATGTGATTCGGGTCCTGTTAAAACCGAAGCGACTTTATCCCTCTCGATACGCGCACCGACGACGAACACTACGGTAGGGTCGCCCGTGCAGAGCGTTGCAGGTGCTATCCCCGGCTCTATTCACATTGAATGGCTCAATAATCTGGACGAAGCGGGTGCGTTCAAACCTGCTGACGAACTCCGGGAGATGTATGAAGCCGTTGGTATTACACCCGACAAACAGGTTATGTGCTACTGACAGGGGGGCTACCGCTCTTCCCAAGCCTATTTGGCGTTGCGGCTCTGGGCTATCCAAAAGTGAGCAACTACATAGGCTCGTGGAAAGAGTGGGGTGACCGGCTGGATCTGCCGGTTGAGATTCCGCAAGTTTAGCGGTTTACGATACGCAGTACGTGCTATTACTTTAGCAACTTCAACTGGACACTCATGCGGTAGGTAATGCCCGGCGTGGGATCCATACCCACTGAATATTCGGATTGGGCGGAATGCGCAACTTCTGCACAGTTAAATCATTCCGTCCCAGACCGCCAAAGACTTCACAGATAGAGATGCGTGCCTGCTCAAGGTAGACGTAGGCATCAAAATTTTCGACAGACTCCCAGAAATGTGCCAGATTTCGGACCATTTTCAAAGCGGCTTCGTGTTTCTTTTGCTTTCTGCTGAATCCGCGCGACAGCAATTTGGGAAAGTGAAACCGTAAAACCGTCCAGCGTTGAAAGCACTCCCCGCAGATGAAAGGCTTGTCCAGCCTTCAGCAGCACAAGCCCAACAATACGCGAATGAACGTCGAGCGACTTCCATTCCTACCATGCCGCCAAGGCTGTGCCAACGATCTCTATGTTTTGAATCCCAAATGGTCTGCGAGGAGGTACAACACATCATCAGCAAGGCTACCTAACGTGAATGTTTTTGTAGGGACAGCACTCCGTCCATGTCCACGAAAATCAAGAGCGATGTGCAACGTCTGCTCACATGCAATTTTTCATCACCGATGTCCAATCAGACGCGCCACACCAGTGCCGTTGTAAGAGAAAAGCAGAGTGATGGTCCGCTACTCCTGATCACGATATAGGCCATCTCCCAAACATGTCCCGATGTTGTCATAGCCGTGTGGTTCCACTAAGGGCAGTGGCTCCTACAGAAAAACAGGATTCTACGTTGCTAAATTCCAGATTTGCGCCCCGCTCGCTGTTCCACCCAGAGATCGTTCCGATCATCATACTGTCAGGAATGGAAGTCTTCCCGAATGAGTTGGAGTCCGCTCCAAAGAGAGAGGCAGTGTGATGCTTTGCTGTGGTGACCGGGGTAGCCTGTCTCCCCAACTGTCCGTCCGCACCGAAAGCGATAGGACACTTCTCATAAACGATTATTGCAGCGTCGGGGTAAGGAAATTCTTGGTGCGAACGCCCAGCGACCATCCGATAGTTTCAAGTGGACGTGTCATAGCGTGCGAGTCCACGCTGGGTTGAAACGCGGCTCCTCTGCTCAACCTGGGGTATACGCCCCATGAGGTGATCAAGAATAAGTCTACAGACGGGGATACGTGTGGCACAGGACAGCGACCTGACATCAGCACAAATTCAGCACGCAGGTGAAATGGATGATGGCATCCAACGCTGCGACTTCTCTTCCACATCGCGTCCATTCTGTCGGTTAGCAAAATCTTTTCATCGGGGTGTGGTTAGTACATCGGATGGAAAGCGTTTCTCTCTCCCGGGAAACCCACCAAAACCTCGCTCTTGTATCCAAGAGCGGACCTGCTCACATGTGATACGTGGTTGTGGATCTAGAGGAATTAGGAAGCCGTGTGCGATAAACAGACGCCTGGAACAAAACGCAGAGTTCTTGGACGACCGATCGCAGCCTATGTAGCCGTGTATCCCAAGTGTTGACCAACTCGTCTGCACGAGCACGGTCCAGTCTACACCGTGCCAAGTCATCTCTGCTACAGAGTTCATCGATCAGAGTACGGGTCATCCGGAGAGGAATCCAACTCGGTGCGGTGGGACCGAACAGGGATACTTCGGGGGATCAATTCCTAGACATGAACATGGGATCAACTAAATTGGAAATCTCCTCAACACATTACGTTTAGAACAGAAACTGGGCATCCAGTTTCGCCGGCACCGTAACGTTTACCCCGGCGGAATTGGTGAATAAGACGTTTGCCAAGACAAGGGCGAATGAACTGGAATGAAAACTGGGGGACGTAATTGTTGGTGTAGGGAGGTTGTACTTGTAAATTATTGCGCTTTGATAATTGCGCGGATATAAGTTACCGCGTCCGTCTCTATTGGTAACGGGTTCAGTAAAGTGGCTTTGAGGTCGGGACGCACATTTTTGTATGTCCCGCCATTTTGGGGTAGCGCGGGGTCGAACGAAGAGTTCAAAAAACAACGCGGAAGAGGACCGGGATTACCGGCATCCAAAGATAGGTTTTAATCCTAAATGCCAGTAAGCCTGCTGGTTTTCCGGTCTTTCTCGCCAAAACTCGCCAGAAGTAATCTTTACAATCTCGCCAATACACTTTTGATACGTCGTGCTCCCCTACCGAAACACCACCGTGTTGTAATCAAGGATCAGCCTTGGCGAGTAGTCGCACGAAAGATGAGCGTTTGTTTCTACCTGCATAATCAGGGCGCGTACCCATATCCAATCGGTATGCCGCCTGCTTCCTCGACCGTGCGTAGGACCGTAACGGTTGCGATATCGGAGGTTTAGCAGGTGGTCAAAGCGGTTTTTTTCACCGGACGTGGTCGTGAGTTCAGCACCCGTCGAGACAATCGAACGGTAGGGTTTGCGCAGACTTGTGACCCTGGGCAATTAAGAGAGGCGAGCATTGAATGACCCTGCTGGCGGACGTAGGGTATTCCCTGGTTCCAAACTGTTGCTCCTTCGCGCACTCACCGGTGCACCGCGACGGTCAGTTGGTCAAATCCATCAAAAAATCTTGACTTCAGTCCCCATCTCGCGG